GAGTTTTTCAATCGGGCATTTCCACTTTCGTATTGGCCAAGGATTAAGCTTTCGAATGAGACATTGTTTATCGAAATCGGTTCACTGGTTCTCATGTTATAATTAAAATACTATACATGTAAAATTCTGTTTAATTGGGGGCTAACTTCACATAGGTGTCATTATGAATAATTATGTTGTAATCTCAACAAGTTTAGTGAAAATAACTTTTTATTTTGTGCGTGGGTATAAATTAAACAATTTCAGGTTAGAATTTAATACGAAAATGCATATTTAACATTGCTTTTAACTTCCAAAAAGAAACGTCAAATCGCAACTTTAAAGTGATTTTTCGGTAAGTACTACACTTTTCCGCACTTTTTTTTTATCATTAACACATCTTTTGAGTCATTTCCAACCGATTAAAAAAAAATTTATCGATTTTTAAGAGGGACAGCTAATCTTAATATATGCCAAATTTTGTTTAAATTTTATTTATTTATTTACCTCTGAACTGGAGGTGGGGGTGGAGGGAGCCCTTGATGGGCTAAACACGAATCCAAAACGGATCTAGGTCTCTCCATCCTAACGGATTCATCATCGGAAGGCATCCAGGTGTATTTAGCGGGGTCAACCTGCATTTTTCTCCGGAAATATGAGTGGCTACTTACGTCTTCATCGTAACGATAAACATCTGGTGGTTGAATCGCCCAAGGGTACCTTCAAAATTAATTAATTAAAATAAAATTGATTTAAAATTTTTCCCCAAACCTTGGTCTTCGAGGATATGGGGCGTACTCAATGGGGTGCCGTCTATAAAGTTCGTGCAAATTCTCATCGGAAGGTATCTTTTGTCGGACGCAAACCGTCAAAAAAGAAGTTTTGTTGCAAGGAGACGGTTGATGCGAGGATAAGCACCCGAAAAAGCTGGTCCTTTGTGTTTCCAATGCACCCAAGCCGCGATCGGAAATGCAATATTGTTCCCTAATATCTTGTTTGCTATACAAAGCGGTTCCACGGCGAGATTTCGCGTATATTCTCCCCATCGTTTCATCTTCAGATTCGTAACTAAGCGCAACATGTTGTATATCTGCCTATAAACAAAAAGATCCCAATAAATATTAATTATTTTAATTTAAGTACTTTCACGGCCGGTGTTAATTAAACTAAAACTAGAATTAACACTAGCGAAGTAAAGCTTTTTGCAACATGGCATCCGAAACGTCAAACTTTATTTCAAAAAACGGCTTAACCCAAAAGATTCTAGTATTATAGTTCGTTTTTTTTCTGTAATACTTGTCAATGTAAATTATTTAGGGTTTCTGTTGGTATTATCTAGGACCCTTATAAAATTTATGTTGTTTTACATTGTCAGTAACTAATTAGTTGAGGTTAAAATAATAATAAATTTTTAGATAAATACGATTTTGACGAAGTACATATTTGTTATAAAAATGTGCTACAATGTAATTAAATAGAATAAAATACCTTTTCTAGGTAAGTAAATGGCAAATAAACACCCCACAACACTTTTTATGCACCTTTTCTTTTTGAATAACAAAAGCTCAAACGTCAATGTGACATATTTACTTCAAAACATGATAAAACAAAATTCCCTGTTAATTTTGCCAACTTTACAACAAATTGAAAAAAAAATGAACTATAGGTCTAGTGTTAGTTCTAATTTTAATTTATTTTAATTATTATCACCTGAGTTGCCGCATCGAAATGATTCAGAACTACTCTCGAATTACCAAGATAACCTAAAAAAAATTTATTTATTTATTGTTTGCACCTCATCACCTAGTTTTTTTTCGTTTGGCCTTCGGCGAATGTTGGTACGAAGTCTAAAAGCTTTCTCTCGACGACCGGTATTAATATTTATGGGTTAATTTTCTTTTTCTTTCTCCTTTTAGTAGCTTCAGAAAGAAGCGGAGGAGAAAGAAAAAGGCAAAAATATTATTTGACTCACCAATATGTTCCATACTTCGTATGCGAGGATTCATAGTTCCACTTTAAGGGAAATCTGAAACGGGACAAAATTAGGGTCAATTAGGGACTCAATTACTAATTAACCGGCCCGAATCGAGGGGCTAATTACTACAGATATTAACTGGTGAAATAGTTTCCGTTTTTGGAATTTCAAATATATCAATTTTATTCTTTTATGTATTACGAGCAAAAAATACGAAAAACAATAAGAAAAATAAGGTAATAATTTAAATAAAAACAATTTTTACTTCAACCCCGTTTTCAAGAAACGTCAAATTAAACAGTTTCCTTCTATACCTGTCAATGTCAAAATCTTAAAATTTGTGTTGGTACCACCAAGAGTTTTTCTTTAACCTCACTTTAAATAAACGTCAAATTGACGACTTTTTAAAGTTATTAATTATTTATTTAAAAAAAATTACAAAAGTCACTAATGTCAATAACAACGTTACACTTCTTAATTATTTTTCTTTCCTTTACAATCACTTTCGGCAATTCCGAATTGATTCGAATCGAAAAAGGCGATATTCAGAAATTAAAAACGACCAAAAAGCTTTTAGAACCCGAGGAAATCCGCGATGAGAAAAAAGAAATTTTAAGGGGCGACAATGATGGTGAAATCGACGAGGAAGATGATGAGGATGAAGACGATGAAGAGGACGACGATGAAGCAAATTCTTCAAGGGGTAAATTTTTTTAAATTATTTTTGGTGATGAAACAATAAACGTTTTAGGAACGGATAAAGAGCGTCGAGAAGAGAAAGGCAATAAAGGTCCGAAAATATGGGACCAATGGGGAAAATGGTCCCCTTGTAGTGTTACATGCGGTATCGGGAAGATTATACGTTGGAGACATTGTGTTGGTGGAGGGTGTGCTGCAGGAGAAAAAGAAGCACAAATAAAAACGTGTACTTTACCAGCTTGTTAATGAATCTATCTATTATATACATATATTTTATATAAACACATGTTTTAAATACAATCGTTTAAGTGAATAAATCGTGAGCAAGTGGAAATTTTAAGGATCATAAACGCAATGGAAAAAAGCTTTTGTACGATCTCTTTGGATCTCCGCGAAACGTCTGTCTCTATGGAAACTTCCAAATAGGGGGGAAGGTTACAGGAGGCACTTCCCGAGAATTAGAGAAAGAAAGAAATCCTCCAAGGATATTATTCCCTTCCCCATTCCTTCATTTTATTTAATAGTTCCGTTTTATCGCTTTTTGAATTAAATTTTTTTTATTAATAGTTTTAATAAAAGAATTCGATTCGGATGGTCAATTTTTTATCGTTTGACTTTATCGAGTGCGTTCCGTCCGGAGTTTCGAGGGTAATTTGTCAATTTGTCAATGTGTCAAGGGTAAAAGGACGTGAGGGGGGTTGGGGGAAGGGTCGGAAAACGTTGCGGGAAATATATCATCGAAGTCGCGTCGAGATTGCGACAACCTTTTTGTTTCGAGTCGAGTACAATTTAACGAGATCTTTTTGAGAATAAAATAAAATTTTTTTTTAAACAAATTTTTACTTGAAGAGTGATTCAAAACTATTCCATATACATTACATTAGACCGGGAATTTTATATAACTCGCAATATATGAACATAGTAACCATAGTTACGAAATTACTATGCACTTGCACTGTCTCACATAAAATCCAACATAACTTAATAGTACAGGTATTGGTACAGGCAAGGTAGTTTTGCGATAGATAGTGTTAGTTCTAGCAGTTTTATTTGTTATGCATCGTTAGACCGAGAACTAGAATCATTTGGGTTTAGCCGCACGTCTCTAAAGACGGCTAAACCCGAATGATTCTAGTTCTAGGTCTAATGTTAGTTCTAGTTTTAATTGTTATGCATCGCTAGATCACGAACTAGAATCATTTGGGTTTAGCCGCAAGTCTCTAAAGACGGCTAAACCCGAATGATTCTAGTTCTAGGCTTAATGTTAGTTCTAATTTCAATTGTTATGCAGCGTTAGACCAAGAACTAAAATTATTTCCGTTTAGCCACACGTGTTTAAAGACGGCTAAATTCGAATGATTCTAGTTCTAGGTCTTGTGTTAGTTCTAGTAACAGTACTAGTGTAAAACTAGTACTAACACTAAACCTAGAACTAGAATCATTCGGGTTTAGACACGTTCGGCTAAACCCAAATGATTCTAGTACCATGTCTTGTGTTAGTTCTAGTGATAGTGCAAAGCTAGAACTAACATTAGACCTAAAACCCGGTAATATTTTAGGACTTGCTCGCAGCAACATTAAAATTCTTAAAATTCCGATTAAAGATACACCTCATCTTATTGGGTCTAGCTGATGTCGACTATGTGCGGAGAACGAGGAGATAGTTGAGCATGTTTTAGTGGCCCTGCTGTTAATCGTTTTTGGGTCGCAATTTATCTCCCCAAAGGATCTGCTGCTAATCATCGCGACATGGAATTAACTAAATTAGCTGTAATTTCTGGTGAAGTATTCTACCATTCCCGTAATAATGCAGCTTTCAAGTCGTTTTTATTTTTAATATTTAGCTTCCAAATTTTGCGGTCAAGAAACTCCCATACGTGCTCTATGGGATTGAGGTTGGGTGACTGTGGTGATGAGCATAGCTATTTAAGGACATTATACAGGGTGTCTCACGTAACTGGTTCGTTAGAACTTTTTCAGGTTCCACTATTCGTAGAGATTTAAAATTTTGGTAGCATGAGTTGTTCATTCGGAACTTTCGATCTAAAATATTTTCAAGATGGCCGCCACTTCTGGTCTACCGGAAGTAGACCATAACTTCGTTATTTCAAATGGAATGCTATAGTTTTTATTGCACCTTTTAATTGTACTTAAAAAAATATGTTGACTTTCATAAAAGTTTTTGGTACCTAGCGTTTTTCGTTTACGGGTTATTTTGATTTTAAGATTTTTTTGGCAAATTTCACCATGCTCTTTAAAACCCTATATCCCAGCCAACGTTCATTCAAAAAAGCTTTAAATTGGCACGATTACTCTTCAGATGCTCTCAAATAGATTGTCATATATTGTGTTAGAGTATCTTATACAGGATGGTCAAAAATTGAATTACCGTTTCTCCATATTCAATGGGGAGAAAGTCGAAAATTTTAAATGGAACGCCCCATATTTTATTAGCCTACACGAAAGGGAATTTAATTCTCTACAATTTATCTATAAACATTCCTATACTTATTTATTGTAGTTTCTCTCATATTCGTAAATTTATCAAAACATGCAGAAAATGCAGGAAACCGTTTGTATTTTTATTAGAAGGCCATGACATTTTGACAGTTTTTTGTTTAATTTATTTCTATTATTATTTGTACTATTAACTACGATTGATAATCTTTTAGTTTACTAGCTTTTACTTACCAAAAATAACAAACAGAAGATCAAATAAATGAAACTATTAAAACAAAAAGTTAATGACAAAAATTAGATTTGAATAAAAATATAAATTTATAATATAAATTTGTTATTAAATTGAATTTGGAAATGCAATAAAATACGTTAAATTATTTATTTCGTTGTCTTCATCACTGGTGACCGGAAATATGCGATTTCTTTTGGTCTCGATATATCCAGAACTAATAAATTCTTTATCAATTTTTTGAAATTTTTCCTTGTGATGGGCGTTAGGTTTGTTAGGCATCTCTCATTAAGTGTTCGACACGTCTTGTCCGAAAGTTTATTACATTCGCCATCAATACAAAATAAATTTCAAATATCGGCGTTGGAATAATTTACCATGATGTTCAATAACTTACACCCGTCGTCAAATGTAACTAATGGCAACAATAATACAAACATGGACCAAAAACTGTCAACATTCCATAGCTTTCTAATAAAAAAACCTGCATTTCGTGCATGTTTTAATAAATATCGCAATATGAGGCAAACTACAATAAATAGGTATGGGAATGTGTATAGGTAATTTGTAGAGAATTAGATTCTCTTCCTGATAGCCTAAAAAAATATGGGGCGTTCCATTTAAAATTTTCGACTTTCTCACCATTGAATATGGAGAAACAGTAATTCAATTTTTGACCACCCTGTATAAGATACTCCGATACAACAAATGACAATCTATTTGATAATATCTGAAGAGTAATCGTGCCAACGTAGATCTTTTTTGAATGAACGTTGGTTGAGGTATGGAGTTTTAAAGAACATGTTGAAATTTCCCAAAAAAAGCTTAAAACCAAAATAACTCGAAAACGAAAAACGCTAGCTATAGTAGACGCCACGAGAGCTGGCAGTAAATCATCATTTTCCGCTCTTACAAATGCCATACGTAGTTCACAAACCGCTAGAGAGTAATGTGTGTTAGAAAGAGATAGCATTAGTTTAATATGTCTGCTGTACAATTCAAATGGCCACGTCGAAAAAGTACGTCTGTTCTTCTAAGGGATGTAACTCTATAATTATAACCTCAAATCGAAACATCTGGTGAGCGTTGTCATGAATCTGTCAGTGTTTTCACAAGCCGAAAATGTTTTCTTTGAAAGGAAAATCATTAAATAATATCTTTGACAATGTTTGACATATAACCTCCATTACTAACATAACCTACATTAAATGTATGTGGTGAAATAATCTAAGCCGAACGTCCATATCTTGATTCATACCATTTTTAAGCGATCTGTCACTGCCAGCTCTCGTGGTTTTTACTATACTAACAACTTTTATCAAAGTCAACCTATTTTTTTTACATACAATTAAACGGTGTAATAAAAAGTATATCATTCCATTTAAAATAGCGAAGTTATGGTCTATTTCCGGTAGACCGGAAGTGGCGGCCATCTTGAAAATATTTTAGATCGAAAGTTCCGAATGAACAATCCATGCTACGAAAATTTCAAATCTCCACGAATAGTGGAACCTGAAAAAGTTCTAACGAACCAGTTACGTGAGACACCCTGTATAATACGCATTCCTTTACAATGTGAGCTGTGTGCTTGGAATCATTACCGTTTTGGAATATCCACTGTGATCCTAAGCCTAATTTATTGACCGATTCCTTTATATTAGTTCGCAATATGTTTCGTTGTGTAATCATAACCGAAAATATTGAATTTACTTTAATCCGGAAATACAACAGTATGTCATAATATAGTATCCTTTTACTCATGTAATTTAGCAAAATCGACTTTTTTTTTCAGATTTGTTTCTGATATGAATGGCTTTTTTCTAGGAACTCTACTACTCTAGCTTTCACTTCGTAGTACAAGTCGAATTGTTGCCGCGAGTGATTTGGCTAAATCAATCGCAGTAGTTGTTGGATGATCCTTGATTTTTTTAAATTATATACAGGGTGTCACACAAAAAACGCCCCAAGCTGTAACTCTGTCATTTATATTCTGATATTCATGAGCGAAGTATCAAATGAAATGGTTTGATGAATGCTATGATTCATGCTACAAATAAATTTATTCCAAGGCCATCTACAATTTCAGGCGATTATTAACTTTTGTTTTTCAAATTGCTCCATATATTTTTCTTCACGTCATTGGATAGAGATTCTTTTTCTGAATCCATTAATGTACAATACATCCATTTTGAATGTAATTTTAGCAGAGAAAAACACCTGTATATACGGGTTGTCACACAATAACGCCGCAAGCTGTAACTCTGTCATTAACTATCCGATTTTCATGAACGAGGTATCAAATGAAATGGTTTGATGTATCCTATGATTCATGCTACAAATAAACTTTTTTCAATGCCCTCTTCAATTTCAAGCGATTATCAACTTTTGATTTTCAAATTGCGCGGTATATTTTTCTTCACGTTATTGGATAGATTTTTTTTCTGAACCCATTGACGTACAATACATTAACATTAATTGTAATTTTAGCAGAGAAAAACAATTAAAACATTTTCCGAACATTGTCTGTAACACTGCAGTGTGCCATGGAAAAAAATAACACGCGAAACTGATAACAGTCATTAAATGTTATATCAATGCCCGAAGCAGTTGTAAATGATACTTATAAGTTGTTTTTTTTTATTTATTCCATGGCATACTATAGTATAACACAAGTAACTTTAAGAGAATGTTACGAAAGTATTTTAATGTTTTTTTATGCTACAATTACAATTAATGTTGATGTGTTGTACATTAATGGAATCTCTATCCAATAGCGTGAAGAAAAGCATACCGAGCAATTTGAAAATCAAAAGTTGATAATCGTTTGAAATTGAAGATGGCGTTGGAAAAAGTTTATTTGTAGCATGAATCATAGTATTCATCAAACCTTTTCATTTGATATTTCGCTCATGAAAATCAGGATGTAAATGACAGAGTTACAGCTTGCGGCATTTTTGTGTGACAACCTGTATATACAGGTGTCTTTTTTCTGCTAAAATTACATTTAAAATGGATGTATTGTACATCAATGGATTCAGAAAACCAATCTCTATCCAATGACGTGAAGAAAAATATATGCAGCAATTTGAAAAACAAAAGTTTATAATTGTATGAAATTGAAGATGGCGTTAGTAAAAATTTATTTGTAGCATGAATCATAGTATTTATAAAACCATTTTATTTGATACCTGGGTCATGAAAATCGGAATGTAAATAACAGAGTTACAGGTTGGGGCGTTTTTTGTGTGACACCCGTATAACCTTTTTTGAGCTATAAATATAATGAGTTATACATTTTTTATGTAAAATATTAAAATAATATAGACTTGTAATATTCTTCATTTAAAAATTTCATTGAATTACATTTCAGGAGCTGAGATATTATCACTTTTCTGGTATATGAAACCAATTCGTTTCATTCAAAAGTACATTAGATAAGATATTTTTTATCAAAAAGCTTTTAGCATTAACTGTTATTATCTCATAAACAGCAAAAATGTTGTACACCAAATCATCCATATCTGTATTAGTCATCAGTGAAGAAAATTTAGAAAACTTTATCATTTTTGTGAATAATAATAATAATGTAATGTAATACAGAGTGGAGCAAACATTAAAAACACCACAAATTTTGGAATACATAGACATTTCTGATATAATGAGTCATTTTAAATGCAATACCCTGTATATTATTGAAATGATTCTTATCGGAAATAAGATGATGAATTACTCTCCTAATGATAATACATACCCGAGTAGTTCTCTGTTTTGATAGAAATAGAAGTAGAAATAGTTTTGTTTTAATTTTACTGGTTTCGAAGTATTAAGCCATCATCAGGTATTAATTTTTTCGATCAAATTAGAAAAGGGAAAAGAATGGAATCATTTCATTTCGGAGTTTTCGAACGAACAAAAACAAGGGTCACAATACAAAGCGCACCGGATTTACGTAATTAATTTACTAATTAAACACAATGTGGTATTTATTTGGGGTTGTGAAAACCGAGGATTTGAAAATTATAAATTTATACGGGGCGCGAATTCAATTTGTTGCTTGAATAAATTGCGTTTGAACAAGTTCAATTAAAATAAACCGATTTATTTTATTTTATTTAAAAAAAACATTTTAAATGAACTTGTTATTCGTTTTGTTTTAACTTTCTCATTCTTTACCCCTTTAATCTCATACCCTCGCTCAAATTGTAACTTTACAACTAACTAACCTCGCGCATAATTGAGTTGAGTTAATAAAGTTTACTTACGTTTCAACTTTTCCCTTTCGTTTCCATAAAAATTATTATTAATTGAAATCTTCTTAAATTTTTTAATCTTTCTCTCGTTTTGTTGGTAATTTTCTGTTTTATTTGGTCCCACACTGAAATAAACAAAAATTAATTAATTAATTAATATAATAAAAAATTATCTTTCCTAAAATAGTGTACTTTAATCTATTGATTAGTAAGGTGGAAGACATAATTACGCAATTAATTAAATTTAAACAATTTTTTTTTGATACAAAGCCCAGGAAATTCATCAAAACCTTATTGTTTATTTCGATTTCCCATTTTCCGCTTTATTTTCATTTTCCATCGGGTAACAACAAAAGATAAACTCGAATTGTATTCATATTCGATTCAACGTTTTTTTTAGTTCGAAATTAAAGATAAAATTTTATTTTCACGGAGATTTTACAGATTTCGATTACGTAACTCTACCTTGATTTTCCAATAACCTTTTTGAACCAACCCCCTCACTCAATAACTCAATAAAACATTTATTTTACAAAATCGAATTAATTTTAATCAACTTACATGGTTTTTTAGATCGATGTGATGTATTTTTTATCTTCTTAAAGCACGTTTGATAAGCACCAGTTTCGTTTTCGGCTGTGAAGGGGTTGTTTTCGGCTCGAAAGATTGTAAGTGAGAGAGAGAGAGATATATAGATGAGAAAGATATTAAAACGCGTTTATTTTATTAATTAATTGCGGGCTATTTTTTTTTTTATTAAATATTAATTTTTTTTTAATTTTGATGCCGACGAAATTAATTTTTTTTGATTTTCGTGTGTGTGTCGCAGTAATCGTGTTAAATTTGATGTCAGTACACAAAAAAAAAGTGTTAATAGGAGGGCGCGCAGCTCCGAAACGGTCGGAGCTGAAGGTTTCGCGAATGTCGCGAATCTGGGGGCTGCGAAACGGGGGTATGGATGGAGCAACCAGCATCTGGGGTCGAGAGTGAAAATCGAGCGCATGCGCACCATCCGATTTTAATTCCCATTTTGTGTGTTCAACAGAAAACCCCTTTTTACCCCCTACCCGGGGGGGTCTCTTCGTCCGCGTCAAAGTCAACGTTCTGTGTGTGTGTCCCTTTTAAGAGCATTTCAGAAATGGTCTAATAACATCAGAATGAGAATTTTCTGGAAATGAAAACATTTCAGTTTAAATTAAATTTATTAAAGTGTTTAATAAAAATATTATTTTTGTTACAAATTAAATTTGTAAACATTTTCATCGAAAAGCGCCATCTCTTGAAATCTATTAGTTCTAATATAAAAATATTAAATATCCTGTGTTAAAATAATAAACTACCACCCATAGTTAAAGTCTCTGATAGCGTTATCTATCGGATAGCTTAAAAATTGGTTACTACCACTGTATTTATCTTATAGATACCGCTATCTAAGGGATAACTTTTAAAATATCTGTAACCCGTGGATTGGGTGCTATCTAAGGGATAACTGAGGATACCTAACCTCAAATAGGATTTATACTGACGTATAAAATTCGAGCGTTTTACTATTTCAGTTAAAATAAGAAAAGTAATATAAACTTAAATAAAAAACTATTAATAATTAACATTAGATAAAATCATCATGGATAATTTCTTCGATATTGGAGATGAAGACCAAATTTTTGAAGAATTCAATGAATTATTTCCTGTAAGAAGCGAAAGGATAATAAGGAGTAGAGTTGACCATTTAAATATTTATTCAGATGTTGAATTTATGACTCAAATAGAAGATGTAATAATTGGAAAGAGATTAAGGCAGGGAAAGGGGGTTACGGGCAACAAGGGAGGGAGGAATATTTCAGAAGGGTGGGGTACTCAGGCCCACTACTACCACTCATAGTTAAAGTCTCTGATAGCGTTATCTATCGGATAGCTTAAAAATTGGTTACTACCACTGTATTTATCTTATAGATACCGCTATCCAACGGATAACTTTTGAAATATCTGTAACCCGTGGATTGGGTGTCGGATAAGTTGCTATCTAAGGGATAACTGCGGATACCTAACCTCAAATAGAATTTATACTGATGTATAAAATCATCATGGATAATTTCTTCGATCAGTAACGGCGCTAGCAAATGAAGCGCCAGGGTGCGGGAACCGGAGTGCCCCCCCCAAGCATTTTGGGCGGAATGCGGGGAGGGAGCGCCCAAAATGCGGGCCAAAAATTAAAAATTCATTTTAATTTAAAAAAAGTAAAAAATGCATAATATAATCAAAGAAATATAAATAAACTTAAGAAAGACTGGAATAATCATAATCCATACTTCAGCAAAAATTTAAGAATTATACTGGTGAAAAACCAAACTTAAGGGAATAGTCGGGAATACTCTGGTCAGAAATTAATTCGCAAGAAAAAGTCTGAAATTGCAATAGTTATAAACTAGACTTCAGCAAAAAACAGGAATTACATTGTTCAAAGTCCACATGAAGTCTGAAATTACTGTTCAGATGTCAATAGTTATGTGTTCAATAAAAGAATGCGAAGAATATGAACAATAAACCAATAGACTTGTCTTGTTATTGCACAGGACAGGAAATCACCAATACGGAAACTTTGCCAATAAGCACAAAAGCAAAGTAATAGCTGCAGAAATGAGGTACCGGGTGGTAGAAGATCCGTATAGATAACAAGAGGCTCCCAAGAAAAAGATCTAATGCTTCTAAAAAACTAAATACTGCTTTCTGAAGACTAGATACTGCTCTGGAAGATTAAATACTGCTTTTTGAAGACTAGATACTGCCGACAGGTCTAAATACAGCGTCTGGAACACTAAATACTGCCTTCTAAAGACTAAAATTGCTTTGTGGAGACTAAATACTGCTTTCTGAAGACTAGATACTGCTGA